AGGCAGACAGAAAGAGAAGAAAAGGAATATGTGTTATACCCTCTTTTATAAGTAAGCTGCTTCCACAGTGAGATCCTTAAATCATTTATGAAAGCAGTACCCTCAAGAACTACTCACTTTTTAAATTCTCCCCTCTTAATACTGTCTCAATGGCAATTAATTTTCAACATGATATTTGGAGCAGATATTTAAACCACAGCATAGCATATTTATATCAAAATACTAATAAACAATATTTATTGTTCATTTTAGTATATGACAAGCATTTTACAGTCTTTTATTTACTAGCTCATTAAGCACTCATAAAATAATACTGTTCTTATGCTTTAATGCATAAATTGTATCATTCTCTGTGTATCCTAAAAATTGCTTTTATATGCAGCCCATTTGAGATTTATCAGTGCTGATATGTGGAGCTGTACAGTGCATTTGTTTTAATTAAACAGCATTATATAGGACATTTATTTGGATAGAAAAACCAAAATTCACTTACTCATTCCCTTATTGCTGGACATTTAGGCTGTTTGCAATTTGTTACAATTACAAATATAATTATATATTTTTCCTTTTGCTAGAACTTTGAGGTAGAATTGTAGATTACTTAGATTTTTTCAAATTGCATTGCAAAATGTTTATGCAAATTTATGCTCTCTTCCCCCTTTTTCTGCTTTCATACCCACACTTTATAGTTTTAGGCTCTTTAATGTTGGCCAATCTAATGGTTTTAAAATACTAGTCTCTTGTTTTTACTTGCATTTCCTTATGTTAATAAAAGTATCATTTCATGCATATATTTTCTTTTTGGGTTTCTTTGAATTATTTGTATTCTTTGCATTTTTATTATTTCGTAACTTGTCTTTTTAATATATTATTATTATTATTATTTATTATTATTATTATTATTATTATTATTATTATTGTACCAGGGATTGAACTCAGGTCCTTGTGCTTGTGAAGCAGATGGCAGAAGGAACCCCTGAAGTAAATTCCCAGCCCAATAGTATTTTTCTTAATAGGACTTTTTATTTAACAAATTCTGGATCCTAATCCTTCATTGGTTTTTATATTGCAGATATTCTTTCAAGTTCTGTGGCTTGGTTCTTAACAAAATGACTGTTATTAAATTTTTTCTTTTGTGACTTGTGTCTTAACTTTCTCCAGGCCCTAAAACATCTTGTCTTGTATTTTTCCTATAAGTTGGAATGTTTTATGTTTAATACTTAAGTCTTTAATTAATTGGAATTGATTTTTGTTTAATGTAGCATATAAATGCATATATTACTTTTCCTTTAGATTTACTGTGCGTACATATACCTTTTATTGCATAATCTATCTTGTCCCCATAGATTTTTAAACCACTTTATTGACATATTTTTGAGATACAAAGACAGTACATAATGAATGTAAAAAAGTTGACAGATTTGTAGATAAAGATATAGCTATGAAATCATCACTACAATTAAAATAATAAACCCTTTCTTCTGGGCTGGGGATTTAGCTCAGTGGTGCTGCACCTGCCTTGCAAGCACAAGGTCCTGAGTTCGATCACCGGTACTGCAAACAACAACAACAAAAATAACAATACATATATCTATGTGTCTCCAAAAGTTTCCTCCTGCATTTATTTATTTATCTTAACACTTAACATAAGGTCACTTTCTTAGCAAATTTTATGTATACAATACCGTATTATTAACAGTAAGCTCTGTGTTATACAGTAGATCTCCAGAATTTAGTCATCTTCTACTACTTAATACTTTGACTAACATTTTCCTATTTTTCCATCTCTTTAATCCTTGGAACCACCATTCTACTTTCTGAATCTATGAATTTGATTATTTTAGATGAAAAACAAGGCATTATTTGTCTTTCTGTGTCTGGCTTATTTCATTTAGCATAGTGTCCTCCAGATTCATCCATGTTATTTCTTCTCTTTCTCCTGTTTCATGAATTTTTTCTTTTCTAGTTATTTTTTTCAGTAAGCATGAAACATGCTATTTCTTTGTATCTGAATCTGAAGTTCTTTTGTCTATCTTGATGATAGTTACTCTTATTGCTACTTTGTCATTTTTGCATTTACTGATAGTTCAATAAATTTCTTTGGAGTGCAACTTCTGCTTAAGAGTGCTCATGTCATTAGTCACCTATTTTCTGTCTCCTATAGGCCATATACTCACAACTTCTTAATATTTCGTTCTAATCTTGAAAAAATAAAGGTAGTTTTACAAATTCTTAAAAATTGTTTTAAAATATTGGCTTTTCATTGATGATATTTTCCCTACAGTCTGAGTTAATTTTTACCTTTGGTCAAGATTATAACCCTATTTAGCCAATGTGATCATTATTTTCTTTTTTAAACACTACATTTACTTAGCGTGTATAATATTAGTTCTGGATTGTTTTTTCTGTCTTCTAAGTTGTCCTTTCTAAATGTCTTTTGTTGGTGTTTCCTTAAGGTCTCTCTATTTTTTTTCTTTCAGTACTAAAGATAGAATTTAGCTACATCCACAATCCTTTTTAATTTTATTTTGAGAAAGGATCTTCCTAAGTAGACTGGTTTGCTTGGAACTTGTGATCCTTTGGCTTGTTTCTGCCATAGCTAGGATTCCAGCTATGGGCCACTGAGCCCAGAAGAATTTCTTCTCTTTATCCTTTATTTATATACAAAGTGATTTTTTGCATGCATAGCTCTACATACCATTTAAATGTTGATGATTTAAAAATTACTTATTAGTCCTACTCCTGAACTTGATGCAAGATATCTGGATATTCAGTAAATATCACAAACTTAGTCTTTTCAATACTAAGTGCCTAATTGTCTTCCCAATTCACACGTATTCTTTCCCTTCTCAGTTCATAGTGATTTGGGGGGTGCTTAGTAAAACATAAAAATACCTATCTTCCTTCCTTCCTTCTTTTCAAAATTTACATCTATTTATTGAGGTAACCTACTTTTTTTTGTAACTTCCCATATCTTAATACTTGATGCAATTTATGGCTGATATTTCTCATGACATCCACTGCTGTTACCTTGGTCACCAGCATGTCTTGCCTGCATCATTATCACAGCTTCTCTGAGAGATACAGTTCAAACTTGCTCTTGCTTTGAGCTTTTTTTGTTCTTTTGTTTGTCTGCCCTGATTGAAATACATTTACTCTAGTAAGAACTTATTCTCTTTCTTTTGGGGGTGGGGTACTGGCGATCTAACTCAGGACCTTGCACTTTCAAGGAAGGTGGCAGAACCACTGAGCTAAATCCCTGGCCCATGGTGTTATTCTTTTTCTGCTACAAGATGGCATCCATGGAGGTCTCCTAAGGAGGATCTGAGGCCTCAGATCATCTCCCCATCTTCCATGGAGTAGGTTCTTAGAATCTATTCCCAGAAAGAAAAACATTTTAGGATGTGTCAGTGAGAAATATGGGGAGATTTTTTTAAAGCAGGAGTTGAAGAAATAAACACTGAGAGAGGAGAGAGTGCAGGTGCTGACAAGAGAGGCACTATAGTCTAGGGTTAGGGATATGAATGTGGTCTTGGAGGCATCCTTTAAGACTGATGATCTAAGATATTTTGCCTACAAACATTCATTGAATCCCTTGAATCTGATTTTTCGTAAGTTCAGGTTGCTGCTCATTACATTATCAATTGTATTTTAGCAGATTTGCATGTGATGAGCCTAGAAGAAAACAAACTAGCCAGGTGTAGTGGCACATGCTTATAATTCCAGCATGAGTTTAGGCAGGTAGATTTAAGCTCTGTTTCAAAGCTCTGACTTCAATCTTCAGTACCAATGGAGAAAACCATTTTTGAATAATTGGCCCTAATCATTTATTTTTTAAGCCTACAAATATAGTTTATTTTTTAAGTTATGAAATTTTACGTGTGCCAAATACTATACTATACACACTTGTAGATAGAAATATGTTATATTACATAATTTTCATTGTCAGATGTAAAGATGTTTATATATTCTTGAAAACATAAATGGTGCCTCACACCAAATTATACTAGAATATATATACTGAGTTTTATAAAGTGTACAAGTAAACAATATCAAGAAAGCTGCCTTGGTAATTTTAATGATAAATGTTTGCATAGCAATTCTTACTTTTTGAATTAATAACCTTAATGGCTGGCTGAAGGCATAAAATAAGTAAAAGTTATGTGTACAAAAGGTAGAAGTCATCTTTATTTAAAATAATATGAAATTTTATAGTGGTGATAATTTAACATTATGAGAAATATTTCATCCTTGTGTAACATATGAAGCCACCAAAAGTCTATAAAATTTATAACATTTAAATGTTTTTCTTTGGTTTCAGTTTTATGTATGGATATAATTGGAAATTATTTTCCTGTGAATTCGGTTTATCAAAATGCTGATAGTCCTATATATAAAATAAAATTTTCATAGAATTATTTTTATTTTATTTTTTTATTTTTTTATTTTTTGGTACTGGGGATTGAACTCAGGTTCCACCAAACCGCTGAGCTAAATCCCTGGCCCCATGAAATTATTTTTAAATTGATGAGTAGAAATGTTCATAATAAATGAAGTAAATGCAATACAGTATATAATAAAATATTATTTAGAGATTAAAGTTTATGTTTTAAAATAATTTTGATTTTATAAAATTGGACACTAAAAGATCTATCTTGATAGCAATAGAATTTTAACTGGAATAAAATGCACCAAAATGTTAAAAACATTTTTCTCTAGAGAGTATAGATGACTTTTATTTATTTTCCTACTTTTATATAGTTTCCAGATGACTGTAGTATTAAAGTAGTATTCAAAAATAATAAAAGAATTTTAAGGAATGAAATTTTCTATATCTGTGTATTCCTTTTTATTATTTGAGGCAAAGATTTATATTTTTCTATTCTTGACTAGGCCACTAGTATTTAATGTTAGTTTCAGTACCAGTATAGAATATTGTTTTTCAGGCAAAATTTATTGTAATGTACATATCAAGATTCTACTCTTTCTTTCCCCTACAGACAGCCTTTTGATTGATTATCAGTTTACCTTTAGTTTACTACAGGAAGATGATCGTCACCATACTGCCATAAATTTTATAGCAAATCCAGAACAGGTAAAGAAATATCACCCTTTATAATGTGCCTATATTAATTTCAAAGGATACAAAATTTGTGTCATCTTTCATTGTGATTTTTCTCCGCAGAATTATTACATTATAGGGCTTCATCGAAAGTGTTAATCCTTTACTTTCTTTTCATAAACTTTAAATATCCTTGTGATTCCGTGAGTTTATGAGTTTGATATTTTAGTTTTGCTACCAGTTTCTTTAATTTACATGTTAGATTACTTGAATATATAGTTTAATAATATAATGCTTGTTCATAATTATAACTCAAACTGTTAGTCTGATTGAAAATAAAACTGGCCTTACCCCCAGTAGAACAGTTTATTCTGTGTTACTTTCTATTCTGTAGATTTTAAGAAATGCCCATGTTCATGGGAATACATTTAAAGTTTTAATTTTTAATTGAGAGTTTTAATTGTATTTGCTATCAAATATAATCCTCTACTCACTGATTCTGTGTTTATAAAAATGATGTCAGCAACTAGATCAGTGTGACATGAAAGTATTTAGAAATACACTGCAGGTATTTAAAAATTGTAATTTATGTTTCCATGAAATAAAATTCATCCATTTAACTATTTTTTATTTGTGCATTTTAATAGTCTGAGGTACTTGTTTATAATGTTGTATAATCATAATCTTGATCCAACTTCAAACCTTTTTCATCATCTCTGATAGAATAATTGTTCATTCTCTCCTTTTTTTGTACCTCCTAGTACCTTGATACAACTGTCTTAATGTTTTTTATTCTGGGTACTCCATGTATATGTAGTCGTACAATATTTGACTTTTCGTACTTGGCTTGTCTTACTTATACTAATGTTTCTAAGATTCAACCATGTTGTAGTATCTATCAGAAATTTTTTCTTTTTCGTTGACTTCTTGGTTGTTAATGTTAATTCCAAACTGGGGTTTTCTGAGGCTTGAAGAAATTTAATGTAAGTGGGATATCTCACTTAAAATTTCAGAATTATGTTCTTCCCAAATATTGTCAACAGTGTCTTGCACATTTGTCCACATTAGTTACAATTCTAGTTTGTTTCTACCATTACTACCTCCTTCGATGTCCAGAATCACTTGTGTTTTCAGATGTTCCCACTTTAATTTTTATTTTTTTTACTGTCATGACCAGTTGAATCAAAGGGCCTAGGCATGTTTTGATGATGAACTACAGTGAAAAATGTCACAAAGAATGCTTATTATATCATTTATTATAATTTTCTTTGATTAAACACATGTTCACTTGGGAGAAATCCCTAAAATTGTTATGAATCATTTTTCAAGGCTTCCCACTTCTCCTATAAGGAAATGATAAATTGTAGATATATTGATACTTATACATTTTCTACATATTGAAAACAGATTTAATTCTAACCCATGTAGATAACTTCTAGTCAGTGCTTTTGTGTGAACAGTTCTGGAGTAAGTTTCTGTATAACATGATCTTGTTGAACTCATCTACACCTACCAACAATGTTCTAAATGATTGATTTAATAATTTTTGAGGTCATAATGATACTTTTATAATGATAATGAGAATTTTAGTAATGCTAACTGGTTTTTATAGGTTTTTAGTTATGGTACAGTATATTTTAATAACATCTAAATTTAGAATAGTTAGAGGATAAACTAAAAATATTAGTTTTCCTAAGAACTTCTTGAGGTAACTCCTTATATTCCCTTTGTAGAGTAAAGGTCAAATGAAAGCTAGAGGATAAATGCAGATGGTCAAAATCTACCTTGGAGTTTATCATACTTTTTTTTATTAGAAAGCATAAATGAAAATTTACATAATATATAAAGCTTGAGTAATTTAGCATAGGCAATGTTAATCAGTAGACTAAATCACATGTATCTAGTATATTTTCACTTTCTTAACTTTAATATTTTCTTCCTTGGTAGTCAAACAAAAATTTGGATATTTCAATTAATGCATCAAACAACTTTAATCTCAACATTACATGGTCGGTTGGCTCAACAGGTAAAACATTTTGGTGTCATATCTCCTTCACATGTGCTCCTATGTGGAAAATTTTCTAACATGTTTTATTGCTCATTTAAATAAATATTTAAAAATTACATGCCATAATCATGTGTTGTTATTGATAAAAATAATAAGTAACAATATGAATAAATCTACATGTGTTAACTTTTCAATTATAATTAGGTGGCTAACAAATATTATATATCACTCATTTTTTTAAAAAATGGCCATATTATGAAATGCAGATTCTATTTCAGACAGATTGCTTCTTTAGTGATATTGCAATTCATCATTAGAGCTATACATTTATTAATATTACTTTTTACTTAAAAAAGAAATTCTTCTGTCCCAAATTAATAAAAGCAACCACTTGATCTGTTACTTTTAAGCTTAGAAATGTTTTCCCACTTGTCAGATTCAGAGCTGCGGGGAGTCTTAGAAATATACATAAATATATCTTCCACAATAAGGTTTATAAATTGAAATTATTATTTTGAAAATATAACTATGAAGAAATTAATATCTTTATGTTGAATTATGAATTTGTATGCTTATCTTTCAATACTTACTATTTGGAGATAGGGTTATAGCTAGAATCTTTATGTTAAGAAAGCATATAAGGGGCAAGGGATTTATCTCAGTGGTGCCACCGCCTGCCTCTCAAGCCCAAGATCCCGAGTTCGATCTCCAGTACCATTAAAAAAAAAAAAGCATATAAGTTAATTTTAGAATAGAAATAAATTTGAAATTAATTCAATTACTCAGTATACTAATTCTAATTATTTTTACAGTTCATTAAGGTGGAAGTCTTTCTAAAATTTTGGAAAATGCTTTGTTCCATTTGGTTAACTTCTGTAAATGTATACTGAGTGCCCAATCTTTGTTTAACTAAATGAGCATTTAGCTCATGTTTTAAATTATGGCCTACCAATTTATTTATAGTAGTAATGGTTCAATTTGTGGTAAGAAATTAAATTGATTTCTTTTCCAATTTTAATTGGATTAAGGCATGAAAATATGGTTTGATTCGTAAAGAAGGAGTTTAGTTTCTGGTGCCATATTGGCCTGAGTTCCAAAGGGTTTACTTTTATTAGCTATAAAATTGGTACAAATGCTTTAATCTTTCTCAGGATTAGCTTTTGGTTTAAAAAATAGGGATCATAATATATCTGTAGTAGAATTTTTGTTAGAAAAGAATATTGTCTCAAAGCCAGTGCCTATTACCTGGCATACAATCCGTGGTTCCATTTTTAAAAGTAATTTTTATATGACCAGGGATTTAGCTCAGTGGTTCTGCCACCTTGCAAGCAGAAGGACCTGAGTTTGATCCCTGGTACCCGCCCTCGCACCAAAAACAAAAGAAAGAAAAAGAAAAAGAAAAAGTAATTTTTATATGTTGAATCTGTATATGCTGAGTCTGTTTCTATTAAATACATAGGAAACTTATTTTCTGTCATTCAAAATTGTAAGCATGGATGTATTTTGATAATTATATTTTGTAAGAGCAATTATTAAAAAATTTAAATTTATAAAATTCTATGTTTTCTAGCATGAATTACATATTTTGTTATTATTTACATTTTAGCTGGAACGATATCTGGGGAAGAGACTCCTATAATTTCCAGGACTAATATAAAGGAATACAGAGATAGTTTTTCCTATGAGAAATTTAACTTCAGAAACAATCCTAACATTACATTTTATGTGTATGTCAGCAACTTTTCCTGGCCTATTAAAATACAGGTAAGTGTTAAGAATATTTATTTCTAATAACCATTGAATATTTTCAATATAAATGAATTACATGATTCTTCCGAGTGAAACTTGAGCAATACTAAACATGTATAGGCCTTTAATAAAGAAATTGTTATGAATGTCTACGACATGAATGTCTCTATAAAAATACTCATATATACTATTGAGCCAACCAAAGAATGGATTCATACTTTCAATAAATGTTAGATCCTAAAATATTCGACATAATTTGAAAAAACTGGGATTTTTTAATTTTCTGATTAATTAATCATGATGTGCATACTCCCTTATTAGTACTCCATTTGAAATTATATGCTGTATTTTGGTAGCCTTATTTTTGCTGTAGTATATAGTGAATATAATGTGTTGCTAAATTCTTAGGATGAGCAATACTTAAACATTTAATTTTTTAAGACCATTCCCTTTTATTATTGGTTTCTTAATTAGTACTGTCTTTGTGTCATGTTTTAGTTTCATTTTGGCTAGTGATAGACTTCAGGTTTATTTCTAAGAAACATTGGGAATGTTCTGTCTGGAAATAGTCTTTCATAAAATGTTGATAATTGGGATTTGTTCATTTACTCATTTATGATTAATTGATTAAACTCATATTAGTTTATCATATATCTCATATGTGCCAACCACTATACTAAGCTGTTATTTAAAAAATTTATAAACATTTACAGATTATTGTTTCCCTTTCTATATTAATAAATGACAGATTATGTTATATTACCAGAAATGTATGCAGGTTTTATTTATGGCTATTTCTATGTGATCATTTATGGGAGGAGTCAGTGATTTTTAAAATCATATATTTGTTTAAAAATCAATACTTAAATATGGTAACTACTTAGCTGTTCAAAAATAGTACAAAATTACAGTTAGTAAACTTAGTTATGGGGATTGAGATTATTTTTTTCATTTTACAGTGTTTGACTTGGTGATATAATCAGAAAAATAGCAGAAAATTTCCATGTATATAGCTTAAGATTTTTTTAATATTGAGGATGTATACAAATATTGAACAGATTTTACTTGGTTAATTCTAGTTAAGATTGAGGGGAGAAAAGTACTCATCCATAGAGCTTACTAAAAAAGTAATTCAAATTGCTATGATTGTTGTCTTTCTAATTATTTCCTGTTCTTATTTCTTGGCTATATAAATATACTTTAGTTTTAAGCCAATTACACAGTAACTTTAGAATATATGTAAATATTTAATGGTTAAAAATTAACTTTCAAAAATTATATTTTCTTTTGGGAAATTACTAATGATCTCTTCTGGATACCAAACCAGGGTTTGTGTTATGGAATTTAAGTATTTTTCTCTTCCAAAATAATAAAGTGGAGAAAATAACTGAGGTAGTAAAAACATGTAGAGCCTATGTCGTTTTCTCTATTAAGCCCATTACCTTAGTGATACAGAATATCATCCTAAAGCAGATGATGTGTTTTTATTTCACGGACTATAATAAATACATTATTCACTTTTTATACATAAAATAGAATATTTTGATTGAGATTTTAAAATTTATAATTTTTGTCTTACTCTTTTTAAAGTTTTTATCTCATAAAGAAATGAATTAACCTAATTTTAAATATTTAATCATTTCCTAAGACTAAGGTATAGTCATGATTTTAGGTTTTTTTGTATCTCAAAGTTTAGTAAGATGTTAGAAAAAGGAATTCTATAAGCTCTTAGTTATAAAGGTTCTAATTTGAGAATTCTTGGAAGATTTACATTTTTCATTAGTGGACTGATTTTGTATTTGAAAAATAGTTTAATAAACGTGAAACATTAATCTTGCACTAATTGTACCATATTTAATATTTTCAACTATTTCCTCTTTTATTATTTAATATTGAATATTGACAAATTCTCATCTCATAGGTTTGCATAATAGATATTTGTAGAACTGTTTTACAGAATTTAGCAATTTGCTGTTCTTAAGCTATGTAACTCAAATATCTTTATGAAAAGGCAACATAGATAGCTTCTTTTGTGTTTGCCACTTTTTTTTCTAATTTTGATAAGACTGGGATGGTGTTTTTAAGTGGAGAATAATCATAGTGAAGAGTTTATAATAGCATACAATGCTAGAATGTGAAATATATGTCATTATATATTAGAAGTCAATTTTAAGGACTAATTTTCCATTATAATTACCTATTTTTAATATTTCTTATAAAATATTCTGTAAAATATATAAATCAGCTTGATACAACTTATAAACTTTTTTATTATCCCATATGGCCATCACACAAATCAAGATTTAAGTGCTTAAACCATCCCAGAAGACTCCCTCTGGTTAGTGTCACTTCTGGTTAGTGTCTTGAAAAGCTATCGTTTTCACCGTAACTTGATTTTGCTTTGTCTATTTCTAAACTTAATAGGCACTTACAGTATTCATTCTTATTTAAAGAAGGTTTACTTCATTCATTATTATTTAATTAAAATCATGCAATTTCTATGTAGCAGCATTTCATTTCTCATTTTAAATTCCTTACAGTAAGAATATAAACATATTTTATAATAAACTATTGAACATTTGGATTGTTATAAGTTTTTGGCTGTCTTGATGAAACAACTATAGCAATTCTTATATTATTCATATTTTTGGTGGAAAAATTTGTTCATTCCTCTTGAATATTTACTTGGGAGCATAGCTGCTAAGTAGGCATAAGAAAGGACAGCCATATATTTAATCTTATTAGAAGCTATCAAATTTTGCCACAGTGATTATTTGAATTTAGATATTTTCCAGTTTTGAGTAGTCTAAGTGCTTCAAACATTTTCATCAATGCTTCATGTTGCTTGTCTCTTTCATTGTACCCATCTTGTTATGCACATATTAATAATTGTGAGTTTTAATTTTTATTGTGATAAATTTCATATTCATGAAATTTCACTATGACTATTTGGAATATTTTAATAATTGTACTGTTAATATTTTAATAATGGTATTATTCAATACTCTTGTATTTTTTATTGATTAAGTTCTTTGTATATCATGAATATCAATTCATCTGATAAATGTTTTGTCAATCTCTTCCCAGTACAAGGTATACTTTTTCATGCTTCTTGTGGTTTGAATTTTAAAGAAATCTTAAATTTTCCATCCTTATTTTATATGTAGAATTTTTTATTTTCATTCTTATTTCTTGGATTACTACTTGTAGTTTAATTACAACAGAATTATTGATTACTTGAAATTCTTTTTTGCTGGGAGTTTATTGTTTATTGTTTATATTCTTTGCTCATTTATATGTTTACTGAATGTTAGTGTTTTACATTTTCAGAATATTAACTTTTAGAAATAAATTTTAGTAAATGTCATATTCTCAATTCTTGATTTTTGTTTTTATTTTATTTTTGCTAAAATGGAATTTTAATGCCAATATTGTTTTTTCCCCCAATGTAAACCCTGAGGTCAGCTAAATATTGTAGTGTAATTTCTGATAGATTTCTTTTTAACATTTTTGTCAGGTATATAATCTGCTTTGGTAAATGTTCCTTGGATGAAAATTCAAACCTAGGTAAATTTTGCTAATGGATAGAGTGTTCTATATCATTTGTGTTACATTGGTTGATAATTTGTTCAAATCATCTATGTCCTGATTAATATTGTGTATTTTTTCCTGCCAATTCTTAATTGACTGATACTGAAACCTGCATAATTGTGGAGTAGTTTATTTTTCCTTTTCACTAGTCACTCTTTTCACTGGGACAAACTTCCTAATTTCCCAGAAAATAAAGGAAGAGAGAATTATTTGGTTCACGCTCTCTGAGGATTCAGTCCATCACTGGCTGGTTCCAAGGCAGAAACAACATGGTGGAAGGACTTAGCAGGGGAAAGCTGTTCAACCTATGGCAGCCAGTAAGCTGAGAGAAAACTAGCGCCAGAGTGAAGTTCTACACACCTCAGGCATGCCTCCTGCAAGCCACTTCCTCCAATTAGGCCCCATCTCCTCACAGCACATCCGCCTATCATTTATCATATAGATTAATTCACTGGTGAGTATAGCACCACCATGAACAAATCACATGCCGAAAGCCCATATCTGAACACGTGAGACTTTGAGGGAACATTTTAAATTATGATTATAACATCATGTAGTTCTAAGAAATTTTATTTACTTTGTCTATTCTGAACATATGTAGATGTATATGAATTTAATTTTTTTCTTTTTGATGAATTAATTTCTTAAAGTCTTTATCTTTGGGAAATGATCTGTGTTCATAGTAATTTGTTTCACTAAATTCTATTTTGCTAGATTAGTGTATGCAGTTTTGCTCTCTTTTGATTATTATTACAATGATACATCATTTTACATCCTTTAAGCCTATTTGTGGTTTTACACTTAAAGTGTTTTGGGCAGGATATATTTGTGTCCTTCTTCCAGTCCAAAATGGTGTACATTTGATATACATACATTTACATCTCTGCATTTAAATGTAACAACTTGTTTGTTTTCTACTTTTATTACCTGTTCCTTGTACCTTTTTTCTTTTTCTGCCTCATTTTAATTAAGTAATTTTATTACTTATTCTTCCTCCCTTGTAGTAGAGTTAATTTCCTTTGAAATACTTTGGTCTTTTTAAAGTATGTTTTTGTGTTTTGTTAGGGAAGAAAAAAAAAATTTGGTCTTTTCACTCTGAGGCTTTGCCTTTCTGGGTACTCTCTTACTGTGAGTTAGCGTTTTCTACTCTTTTTTTGTAGGACATAGGCTATTCCCATCCCTACAGGAGTTTTCAGGATTTTTCTTTCTGCTCATTTTAGATTTATTTTTCTTTTTCTTAGAGTGTTCAACAAAAGACTCAAGCGGACCCACAGAAAATCTCTGACGCTCTCTAGGCAACTCTTTCTTTTCTAGTTTCTGTTCTGCAAAATCTGACTACCTTCTCTTCTCTGTTGACCTACCTTTACCTTCTTAACTCAAGAAAATTTCTTGAGTATATCTTTGTTTGTTATCCCATGAGGTGG